ATGATTGACTTCGTGAAAATTGTCTGTTATGAGATTATGTGGTTGTGGTAGGGGCGAAATAGACCCGATATTGGTTGAAAGATACCTAAGGGGGTTGAAATATACCCAATACCGGTTGAAAGAGACCAAAGAGTTGGAATATACCCAGTATCGGTTGAAAGAGACCGAAGGGGCTGCGAGCATCCTGATATGCTTGACTGTTATATATGTATGGTATGGGTATTTTGGGGAAACTCACTAAGCTTTGTGCTTACGGTTTTTAGTTTATGTTTTAGGTACTCCCAGCTCGAAAGGGAAGTGTTCGACCTGATCGCACCGCATCCACCTATGAAATTCCACATCATGTGATTTTGGGATTTTGTACTCAGATAATATGTGATTATGATATTTTCTCGACTATTTTTATATGATTACCGTATGACTGAAATGAATTTAAAAGTAAAAATTTTATTTGAATTTTTGGGATGTTACAGATTCTGTCTGTGGGTCTTTGACCATGGAACACCCATCATCGGTGGTCGCCAGTCTTCATCTTCCCCACCACCATGACTTTGGATTAAAATCGAAAACCAAAATTCGTATGGAATCGCAAAGGGCCCGGAGATCTTAATCATTTTGTATGGAATCGCAAAGGGTGTTTCGAGTTTTGGGTTTCAAGCATAGCATTTAGTGTGTATACAAGCATCGCAATGGGTGTTTCGAGTTTTGCGTTTCAAGCAGATTTCAAGCATATAGTGTGTGTTTTCTTGACGAAAAAGACGAGAGAGAGAGAGAGAGAGAGCTCTTTTGTTATTTTATTTATTAAATAAATAAATAGGTATTAATTTTTTTTTAAAAGAAAGGGGATATATTTTTTTTTCAGGTGCAAAAATGCTCCCTAAAAAATAAAAAGACAAATATACCCTCACGTGGGTGGCACATGAGGGGGTTAACAACAAGAACTTAACGAGAGTTAAGCCGCGGACCATTTCCACATACAAATTAGGCTAAAAGAACCATGAAAACCAAAAAATCAAAGATTGGACAAAACCTCGGAAAAAATGCATGCCACAGACCATCTTTGCAAATTTTGTCTAGTTTAAATTCCAAATCTTTTGGCAAAAAGTACGACAAAAAAATGGAATTGAAATCCTAACCAACAAAAATACTATAAACGTTCAAGGTAAAACATTTATTTTCTAAGTTTATCTGTTATTCTGCCCTGGATTTTTTTTCAGACATTCTTAGACTATTAGGTGTGGGCAACATGTTATCAAATGTTATCACACCCAAAAGGTGTCATGTCAGCATCCTACTCATACATGGTGTTATAACACCCAAGGTAGAAATGGACAACATCTAATAACATGTGATAACATCAATTATTTTCTATTTTATTTATTATTTTTTTTTATGTTTTTTTTCTATATTTCGAATTTGTTTTTTTTATTTATTTATATTTGAAAAGTAAAAAATAAAATTTTAATAAATCTTAAATTAAAAACAACATTAAAAAAATTACAACAAAACACAAAAAAACATTTAAAAACCTAAAAAAAAAAAACAAAAAAAAAGATGATAAAACCTATATTTTTTGCCCTAAAACTATTAATCTTCATCTTCGTGACCAACATAGATGTAATCCGCCAAGTCTTCACGGAGTTGCTTGTGTTTTCGCTGATCTTGAATATCAACCACTCTATGTAAATATTCTGATGTCCCTGGTTGAAATTGCACATGTCTTGGTTCCATAGGAGAATACGTTGCAATATTGCGTCCTTTATCTTCGACAACCATGTTATGCATTATGATACATGCATACATGATATATCGTAGAGTATCTAACTCATAAGGTCTCGCCGCATGTTCAACAATGTGCCATTTTGATTTCAAAACCCCAAAAGTACGTTCAACGTCCTTACGTGCTCGTTCTTGTCGTCTCTTGAAATATTTGTCCCTTGGATCTATTGGGTGTCGAAACGCCTTCACAAACGTAGAATATTGTGGATATATTCCGTCTGTAAGGTAATACCCGAATTTATATTCATTTCCATTCACTGTGAAAGGAGCATCCGGGGCTTTTCCTGACAAAAGATCGTCAAATATCGGTGATTGATCGAGAATGTTGACGTCGTTGTTAGAACCCGCAACCCCGAAAAAAGCATGCCAAATCCATGAATCTTGTGAAGCAACAGCCTCTAATACCAACGAAGGCGCTCCATGATGACCGCTCGAATTTTGGCCTTTCCACGCCACGGGGCAATTTCTCCATTTCCAGTGCGTGCAGTCAATGCTCCCAAGCATACCCGGAAAACCATGTCTTTCTTCATGCGCCGCATATAATTGTTGCATATCATGCAACGAAGGTTTGCGCAAGTATTGGTCACCGAAGGTTTCGACAACACCTCTTGCCAATAAATACAAACTTTCTCGTGCGGTCCTCTCAGACATTCTCATGTAATCGTCAATAGAATCGGGCGACTCCCCCATTGCCATAAGTTTAATTGCAACAACACATTTTTGCAACCCTATGAAGCCTCGTTTGTCTCTAGGGCGGTGTTCCCCGCCATGGCGCCGTTAAGGGCGTATGCCACGTAAGATAACGCCTCATGCACGTTGCCCACACCGTTCGTTTTATGTAAAATTACAAATTTACCCAATAAAACCAGATTTTAACCGTCTTCTCCAATCGCAAATACCACTTCGATCACATTACTCCCGCTGGAAACCAGAGAAAAGGTGATCGATCCAGTCAGAGATCGGAGAAACAAAATACTGTTTTTGCAATCAAAATCGAATGAACATTTATATATACACGATGATGGAATCGACACATTCTTCCAAGAACCGTCGTAACTTTATAATCCGACGACGCGCCTCCTCGAACCACCACCACCACCACCTCCCATGTCGTTTGCTGCCGTTTTACACCCTTTATATTTCCCCAAAGCGACGATCTATCTTCCATCAGATTATCAACTACTGGGTATCTGTTCATCTATAACCACATAACTTTTTTTCACCAAAATGGCGCCCAGGAAGAACAAGAACAAGATACACGATGAAGGGGAACCCTCTGCCGCTGGAAACAAAAGGAGGAGGATTGAACTTCTAAATAGTACGACTGGTGTGCCGTTTACAAACCCTTTCACTCAATTCCCATCAATTCATCTTCTCCATCAACACTCCCGCAATTCTCCACGAACCACCGCCGCAATCGACACCGATCTGCAACTGTCTCCTCCAGAACCAATTCCTCCGGACGAAACTGCGACTGCTGATGATCATCTTCTGTCTTCTTTAGTAGGACAACAAAACTTCCTTATCGGTTACCATGTAAATACCTTTCTCTTTTACATATATCTAAGTTGATTTTTTGTCAATCTATCACTTATGGGATATTCGTATTCGTGAAGATCAACCAGATGATGCTAAGCGTGGAGGAATTCTGGCGGAGAAACTTTGCGGAAGAAGTGAAAAAGAGGAAGGAGATTGAAGAAAAGATAAAAGTGAAAGACGAACAGGCTGTTCGATTTAGACAAATGTACCATTTCTATGAGGAAAGGACGTTTCTCTTGGAGGATATGCTTCAGCGGAGGGTCGCCGGTGAGGGGTGCAGCACTGCTGCCGCCGCCGCCGTTCCAGAGGAACAAGTTGAGTCTTGTTTTGTTGATCTGAACAGCGTCCCAAGAAAGGATATGGCATGCAGGAACTGCCGGAGTCGGCCTGCAACCATGTTGTGGCTTCCATGCCGGCATTTGTGCGTCTGTTTGGTGTGTGACAGAAGGGTTAAGATATGTCCGATTTGCGGTGTTCAGAAAACAGAGAGTTTAATGATTAATTTGCCTCCACCCTGAGAGAGAAGACGGTTTCTCTCCTGTTAAAAATTAAAAATATGTACTAAATACCGTACCACTTATTATTTTAAGACTTTTTAAATGAATTATGATATTTTACTATTTTAAATGAACTAAATATTAAATGTTTCTTATTTAAACGGTATTTTTTTAGACTTTTTTTTTTCTTTAAATAAGAAAGGTTTGGATACTTTAACGAAAACAAATAAATTCAAAAACAAAATATATTTTCTTGCAATGTTTTGTTTAAAACTTGAAAAACTGGGGATTTTGTTTATATTCTTTTAGATGTATTTTTGGCCAATGATTTTGGGTGGAAATGTGATGTACATGGTTGTAATATTGAAAAGCAAATGCAGTTATTTGTATTATTTTTGTTTTTGCCACATCTGTTAGTTATGAACCCAACTTTTACATCCCACATATCTTCATTACATTCCACCATATCCCATTTCCCCACAACACCTAAATGATGTCCAAATTGTTCTTTATTTAAGTATAGAAAACTACAAGGTTCATAATAAAGCTCATCAACAACATTATCATCCATAGGTAGTTCAAGACATCATATAATTTATGAACAACTTGTTTGAATAGAATGAACTTCCAACAAAACAATGCTTATGACCAGTTTTTAAGCTATAATTCAGCTGAAAAATGAGCATCAATTCATCTTGTTCATTAATATTACACTTAGGTAGTTAGGTGGCGTGACAAAGTAAAGATTGAACATGGGTACTGGGTAGTTCCAAGTTTTGTGTACAATTCTATAAGTTTGTTCTCAGCAAACTGTTTTTCTGATTTCAAAAGCCACAACTATCATTGATGCAACAAACGCTTCAACATGTTATAAAAAGTTTGTTTTGAGATGTGATATATATAACGTTGCAACATAGTCGTGCATACTATTGTTCAAATTCATCCGGTATATGATAACCATCAACTAAAATTAACGTAACTTATGACAAATAGTTCAATACAAACCAACTTTGTATGTTGTTATGTCCGTATATCTAGAAATAAAATTTACCATAATAACATTACTGAATGAATTAGTAATTAACTTATGACTAGAATAATTCCAGAAAAACCAAGTTTGCATTTGGTATTCTGGAAATAGTTTATTATAACATTTCTGAATAAAAAATATGAAATTTATTAGTATGCGACTAGATCAAGAGATGTAAATTAAAGATCTTTGTCTCAAGGTAATGGCAGACTGATCATGAAACTTTCGGTTTTCTTAGCACCGCAAATGGGACAGATCTTAACCCTCCTCTCACACACCAAACACACGCACAAATGCCGGCATGGAAGCCACAGCATAGTTGCACGCCGACTCCGGCAGTTCCTGCAAGCCATGTCCGTTTTAGAGGCACTTCTCGGATCAACAAAATTTGATTCAACTTCTTCCTCACGAACAGCGGCAGCCGGGGTGCTGCATCCCTCTGCCACCCTACGCTGCAGCATTTCTTCTAATCGGAACGTCCTTTCTTCATAAAAATTGTACAGTTGTCTTAACCGATCCGCCAGTTCTTCTTTCTGTTTTAGTTTTGCTTCGATCTCCTGTCTCTTTTTAACTTCTTCTCCAAAGTTTCTCCGCCAGAATTCCTCCACGCTCAGTCGCATCTGGTTGATCTGCAATAACATGAAAACGCCATGCATAAGTGATTGATTAACAACAAAACCAATTAACTGCAAAAGAGCAAAGTTATTTACATGATAGCCGATGAGGAAGTTTTGTGGTGGTATTAAAGAATTGAAATGATCTTCGTCTACAGCCGCTTCTTCGTCCTGATGTGTTGCTGATGGTGGAGAGAGGTTCAGATCGGTGTGGATAACGGTGGTTTGTGGTGGCAGATTGCGTTGTTGGTGCAGAAGGTCAAGGGATAGAAATTGGGAGATTGGGTTCGTAAAAGGCACCCCGGTTGTAGTATTCATAAGTTCAATTCTTCTCCGTTTGTTTGCAGCGGCAGCGCAGTGGGCTTCATCGTTAATTTTGTTCTTGTTCTTCCGGGGTGCCATGTTGTAAACAGAAAAGTTATGTGGACCGAGGAAATAGATGAATAAACAGACACGCGGACGATAACTTTATGAAACTTTGGTGGTGGCATTGGGGATAATAAAGGATGTGAAACGGCGGCAAACGACGTGTGAGGCGACGGTGGTGGTGGTTCAAGGAGACGCATCGGATTAGCAAGTCACGACGGTTCTTAACAGTTGTGTCGATTCCATGATCACTTTGTGTAACAACCATAAACTTGATGAGTAGAATAGTGTATTTTTCGTCTGATTTGAAAAAAAAAAAAAAAAAAACACACACACACACATTTTTTGTCAGGTTTTCCGGCAGGTGTAATACGATAAAGTGGGTTTATGGGGTGGTTTTGTCATTGGAGAAGAAAGTGCTTTGGTAAAAGTCATTATGGAGTCGATCAGTCGATAAGACCGATAAAAATAAATTTCTTTATTCTTTTCTCAAAATTGTTTAAGTCGAACTGTTCCTAGTCGAATTGTTCGTGTGTTCCATACTTCTAGTACTTCCGGTAGGTTCTTATTTTGTTTTGTGGATTGGATTGGTGCGGAAATATAATATCAAGAAGATAATCGGAGGAACATGACGAACAAGATATATGAGTAAAAAGTGTAGTAAATAGACAGAGAGATACAAAATATTAAATGAAACAACATTCATGGATACGGAAAATCCCCACCCAAAAACTTTCTCTACACTAAAATCTATATAGTGAACACTCTTAAACAAATGACCATCACCACCACTTTATATACTAGTAAATGGAATATGTTTTTTATAAAAGAGAATATTCTAACATAATAAACAGTCATCATTGTAGAGCATTTTCATGCTGCAACAATCTCCTCCTAAATGCTTGGAAATGTTAAGGGTAAAGCAGTGATAAAAGGCAGAACATCCGACGGGCAGGTCCGGCAAGTCTGGTGCTGAAGAGTCTTGGAAAAGCTGAAGCAGTCGTGATCTCGGAATCTGACAATGAAATCTCTATCATCAAATAACATACAGAGGAACCCAATCTCTGAATAGAAATATGAAATCTCAATCTTCGAATGTGATCAGTCCCCAAAAACCAATCATGTTCACAGTCCCCCCCTCGACTGTTGAACCGAAGAGCACAATGTCAAATCACACAACGTCTTCAATAGTCCGAATTCAAGTGATAATGCACCAAATAATATCTGAAGAATAACCTGCTGAAAATGTGAAGCATCCAAAAATAAAGTCTGAATGATAAATAATGTGAGTCCGAAGACATGGTCTAGCAATGCCAAAAATTTGATCGGAAGATCAAAAATAACTGTCACGCCACATCGCCAAAATAATTTTCGTCTTCAAAATATTGCAAATCCAAACTCGAGAAATCATAAGATCTGAACCAGATGCAAACACAAATGAGACATCCCAAAATGTAGAGTCTGAAGATAAATAATCGTAATCCGAAGAACATCTATTAATGCCAAAAATTCGATCTATGAAGACCAAAAATCAGTGTCACATCACACTACTAAATCAATATCCGTCTTCAAATGTCTCTAACTCAAAACTCCAATAATAAACCAGAATGGATGCTCATGATTATCCCCCTATTTTTGATCGACCATGCAATAAAGATAAAAAATAATCATGAAACTGGGCAAGAGAATATGCCGGATATGATGAAGCATCGCACGCTCCCCCTTGATGTGAGCATCTACCCGTGAAAACGAGGATATTATTTTCGGGTCAAGGGTAGACTTGGTGATGTATTGCCGAACTGAACAAACATTGTAGAATATATATGATAAACCTGCTGCTGAAGAATCATAACGCTGAACCGAAGTAATGCCAAAAACCGAAATACAAACTCGAACTCCCAAATAATAGTTCGAGACCATATGTAAAAAGGCCGAAGGGAGTAAAAATGCAAACCTCAGAAAAGATCCAAACTTCGGAAAATATGTGGATCCAGATCTCTGAAGGACATAAATATGAGGCTGCAAATGCGAGTTACTCGGAAAGAGAAAGAGCACACACATAATAATTTCTGAATTAAATTGTGTCTCCACCCATAATCAACAAAAGAATGAAACCTTAAACCATGAGCCTAAAATTGGTGTTAAAAAAAATAATTGGTTTTAATTAAAAAAAATAGTTTTAATAAAAAATAATTGGTATTAAAAGAAAAATGAAAGAATTAATCGGTAAAAATAAAATGGAAATTGGTTTAAAAAAAGGCTTAAAAAAGGAAATGAAAAATAAATAAATAAATAAATAATTTCGGAATATATAAAAAGGATTTGAAATTAAAACAAAATGTTGGAAATGGATTGGAGGTGGATCCATATTAGAAATATGAATCCGAAATGAAGTGGGTATGGCTGTCCGAAATGGGTTTTAAAAGAAAAGGTCCGAGACGGTTATGGTTGGGTCCGAAATGGGATCCATCACTTAATATGGATTCACTTAGAACTGGGTTAAATCTCGTAAGTTTTAAAGGTTCGAAGTGGGTTTGGATTGTCTCTGAGTATGGATCCAAATATGGATTCACATTGAGCTTTGATCCGAGACAAGTTTAAAAGAAAGGTTTCAAAATGAAAAAAAAAACAATAAAAAAAAATAGGATGCAGGTCTCGAAATGGGTGAAACACAAGTGGGGTCTCGGAAGTCACACTAGTGTACCAAGAGAGGGTACAATGTCTCCCTCTGAGCATTTAGCAACACCCTTTTTAAAAACGTTACAGTTGGTTGAAATGAGCTTTTGGTCGACATATGTGGATCCCACCTGAGACAATATTCCAATATCCTGCATTTTGTGCAAAAAGTGGACAACTTTTATGAATGTCAGCCTGATTTTTTTTTTTTATAAAGTCTAATATACTCTAGCTGATGTGCATCGCATGCATGCATGTACTTCCAAGACTTGAGACAAATCAGTGTGCTATTTGTCAACATTTTCTTGTCAACTCTTAGAATGTTGCACGAGTACTCATACCTTCAACGAGTGATCTTCACGTCCCAATAAGCCTTCATCGCGTCAGCAAGTGACGCACCACTCATCTCTCGCCATCTCACCAGCCGGTCCCACAATGCATTAAAGAAGAAGCCAACATCAGCAGCACAGGTCCACCATCTCTTTACTTAATGTGCATCACACGTATGCTGATGAGTCAAATCACATGCCGGTCCCACATGCATTAAACCTGCAGCTTTTTGAAGTCAAACAAGAAGCAGCCGTCGTTTGTACATAAAATCGGTCGGACCCACATGTCTCCTCAAGTGCTTGTTCAAACAAAAAGGGGCTTACCTGCTAAATCAGCTCTTGTCGGCTGCAGAGGGAGACATTGTACCCTGTCAAAGATGAGTGTACCAAGAAAGGGTACAATGTCTCCCTCTTCAGCCGACAAGAGCTGATTTAGCAGGTAAGCCCCTTTTTGTTTGAACAAGCACTTGAGGAGACAGGTGGGTCCGGCCGATTTTATGTACAAACGACGGCTGCTTCTTGTTTGACTTCAAAAAGCTACAGGTTTAATGCATGTGGGACCGGCAGGTGATTTGACTCATCAACATACGTGTGATGCACATTAAGTAAAGAGATGGTGGGCCTGTGCTGCTGATGTTGGCTTCTTCTTTAATGCATTGTGGGACCGGCTGGTGAGATGGCGAGAGATTAGGGATGTTCACTATTTGGATAAAACCGAATTTCCCAATTGGACTATTTGGTTCAGATTTTCGGACTTTTGGATTGGATTTCACCAAAACTGAATTATTATTTTGGATTTCGGATTGGTTTTGGTTTATAAAATAAGAACCGAATAGTCCAAAAAAACCGAATAACAATTTATTATATAATTATTTTCAATATATCTATAACTATTTATTAATTTTATAATTTATTTTTTTAAAAAAAGTTCAAAAGGTTTCACCTAGTAAAAAAATTAATATGCATTTTCTCTAAAAACTTTTTTATCAATTAAATATTAAATATAATATACCTTCTTAGTAGTTGTTTATAAATTTTAAATTACAACTAAATAATTTGTTTTTGTTTTTTTGTAAAAATTGGATAATATTATAATTATATGTCGTTTTAAAATGTTATGCTTTTTGAAAACCGAATTATAAAAACGATCCAACCGAATTGTAATTGGATTGGATCGGATTTGAATTTAGTTTGGACAATTCGGAGCCATATTTTGAAAACCGAAATCAATTTGGATTACTTAATTGGATCGGATCGAACCGATCCATCCAAACAAACACCCCTACGAGAGATAAGTGATGCGTCACTTGCTGACGCGATGAAGGCTTATTGGGACGTGAAGATCACTCGTTGAAGGTGTGAGTACTCGTGCAACATTCTAAGAGTTGACCAGAAAATGTTGACAAAGAGCACACTGATTTGTCTCAAGTCTTGGAAGTACATGCATGCGTGTGATGCACATCAGCTAGAGTATTTTAGACTTCATAAAAAAAATCAGGCTGACATTCATAAAAGTTGTCCACTTTTTGCACAAAATGCGGGATATTGGAATATTGTCTCAGGTGGGATCCACATATGTCGACCAAAAGCTCATTTCAACCAACTGTAACCATTTTTGAATAAAATAAACGATATTTGTCCAAATTCTTGCATAAACACGCACTGCGTAAGAGACTTGTACAATCAACATATATCACTTGTAATCTTGGAAATTTTATACCCAAACACACTAAAAGCCATGTCATCTCGGAAAAACAACTCCATAACTCCTATTCATCTCGGAAAATACATGCATCAAAGCATTGTATCACAGCTATAATAACTTGTACATTCCGAAATAAAATATCCCAACACTTCAAAAAATCATATACTCCAAACTCATAATGAAACATCCCAAAAATACAGTCCAAATTTTTTCATTTTAATCAATAAATAAAACCATAGTAATCCAAATCATCTCATAAAAACATAAGTGAAAATATCTCGAAACATCATATCAAACACTGTATCAAAATCATATATCCAAATATCAGAGTAAATCATCCCAGGCTAAACGTTGTGGTGTGTGCGATGTAGTCATCCCGAGCTC